TGAAACAATTTTTAAATAAAAAAAACCCAACAAAACTATGCATGTAAACTTTTGTCACAAAAAATAACAATTATAAAGTTGTCATAGAAAATATGTATGAACTCATTTTTAACAAAAAAAAAAGAACAAATTATCCATATTTTCCAAAACCTAAGATTATCCAAATAATCTAACCAAACTTGCAACATGGCTCCGATACCAATTGTTATGTTTATATTCAAAAATAGGTTCAAAAGCTATTATGTTAGCAAAAGAATAATTTTAAAATGAATATCATAAACTAGTTATTTCCCATTAAGGATCAGCTTGCAACCAAAGGAAAGATAAAAACAGCCATAGAAGGAAAAAGAACTACAAGATTTGAAGACCTGGAATCCTTTTGGGAAGTTGGAAGTCGATAAGAATGGAAAAAGAGTCAAGGTAAAGCTTCTCTAGAAGTATCCATCAAGCAAATGATGGCTACCAAATATGCTAGTCTTTTCTTGTATTAAGCATTTCTTAAACCTCTAAAACCCAATAACAAATTAGTCTTAAAGGAAAAGAAAAAAAACACTCAAATCTACACAACACTTTGCTATAAATAAGAGAAGGAAAGAGATCTTGAAGCTCACAGTTTTGAGAGTAAAAGAGATGAAAAAAACTATCTTTTTCAAGTCAATGATCTCTTTTATACTTACATGCATGTAGTAAAGGCCATACCTTAATTAAATGCACAAGTATGGATATATAAGAAAGCATGGGGTGAAAGACTATGTCAAACAAGCAACCTTCTCATCCCTTAAGGGATCCACGGGATTAGGAGAGAGGATGAGAGAGTTGGTGTGTCTTTTACTCAATATTATAACTAATATATTCTAGTAACATTCAAATGAACTACAAAGTGTCCAAAATAAATTTACATAACTTATATATTCATATCATATGAATATATCTAGTTATGCTCTCATTTATTATTATTTCCATGAAACAATAATTTCTCATTTTGTTGTTATTCTCTCTATAAAATATTATTTTCATAAAATAATAATTTTTCAATTAAATACAATAGTTGATAATGTTTATTAATAATCAAATTACTTAATAAATAATCAATAAGTTTCTACTTGCTATAAGATGTGACCTTATATGTTCATATGTTATTAGCAGTTATCATTCTTTAATGATTATTGAGTATATAGATATTTTCATACTTTAGTTCGTCTACATTTAAATGAAAGAGAATGTTTTTAGTCTCTCATGTTTTACAGAAAAACATAAAAAACAAATAAAAAGTATGGTAAACATTGCAAACCTAATACGTTATTCAACAATTCTTCAAGATATCACCTCTGCAACTCCTTCTGCCTTTAGGACGAAATAATGGGTTATTTTCGTACCTAAGAAGGTTTCTTTTATGTACACTTTTCTGAGATATGAAAATCTCATATTTATAGGAAAAATAACTTAGCAACACATAATATTTTAATGTAATAATTGCAATAATCCTCTCTAATAAATGAATTTTTTTTTGCCATTTGTCACATTCTAATTCAAATTGTCAAATGTCATTTTGTGGTTATTTTAAATTAATTTTTTTTCCACATGTCATTTTTTGAGTTTTTTTATTTTATTAAATTCCACATAATATTTTGATGTAATAATTGCAATAATCCTCTCTAGATCTATTTTTTGTAGTCATTACTATGATCGAATACATCTTTTAGCATCCAAATCACCATGTTCATTGTGTTCTTACAATTCCTCATGTCAAATCAAATGCTCATAATTCATTACATGTGGTATCAGAGTGGATCTTCGAAGATTGAAGTAATTTTTGAAGAAATGATTCTCGATTTGGCAACAATCAACACAATATGAACAATTTTTGGTGAGTCTCTCGATGATCTCTCGAAATCTTTTGGAATTGTGCTCTTATGATCGATTACTTGTTCATTTTAACTCTGATTGGATCCATTTCATTTTCTAACCCATTGTTGGTCCAATCATTTTTGTTAGTTCAATTAAAAGATTAGCTTAAATTGTTTTTGATCCAACCTAATCAACTTCGATCCATTATTGTTCATTGTTCTTCTAATCTTGAGCCCAAATTATATGATCTTTTACTGTTCATAGATCCGTTTATTGGAATCCAAGTTTCATTCCATTTGATTAATCGGATACTTTCATTCGTTTTTGTATCTCAATTCATTCTTGTATCTCGATTTGTTCTTGTATTTCGATTCACTTCATCTAATTGAATTTATGTTCAAGTCTTATCTCGATGATGCTCCTATTAGAAATGTTAGAAAGAATTAAAACCACATCATCTATTTACAACCATGTCATTTATATTATAGGTTGCTTAGGGCTAACCGGTTACAAAGAATGATAACAAGAAATGTAAGAAAGAATAATGGTTAAAGTTAGGGCTGACAAATATGTATCACGGAAACAAACCAACATGTTACCAACCGAACCAAGAATACCGGTAACCAATATGTTTGTTAACCAACATGTTTGGTTGGTAGTACCATACCAATTGCGAAATCATGGTACAGTAGTGGTACAAATTTTCAATACCACGGTAGTACCATACCAACCAATTTAGGTGTGGTGGGTGTGGTTATATATTATATATAGATATTATATATATATGAGATATATATATATATTTAGTATGTTTGGTGTTTATGATTTTCGAGCTTTGATATTAGCATTTACTGAATTAGTAAAGTTTAAAGTTTTAAACTTATGTTAGCGTGTCCAATATTCATCCACCGCTTTAACTTATAAACTCATGATATAAATTAATAAAATCATTTTGGATTGATTTTTCAAAACCTTTACAAAGCTTTTATTCACAAAACTCTCCATTGAAGTTTCAACATGCTCAAGAACATGAACATCGTCATTCACAAAACCCCTCATACATGTTGGTATATACCATTACCAATATGTACCAACCGAACTTATTGGTAGCCAAACAAGTTGGTACCAACTATACTTGGTACAGTAGTGGTATAAATTTTTTTTCTACCAAGTATAATTGGTACGGTACACGGTTTAGTGAAAAAATGAATTGTTACCTATCAATTCCACCCCTAGTTAAAGTGTATTAAAAAATAATATAAAAGTTTTTTTAAGGACTGGCATATAATAGGTAGTTTTTTTTTTTTTTTTTTTTGAGGTTTTCTCATCTAAAAATGAGTAAAAAGTAACAAATTAGAACACCATTTATTAATGTTTAAGTACTTTTTTAGACTAGGTTGTTTGTATTATTAAGTGTTAGCATGATGGCTTGAATTTATCATAAGTTGCTTCAGCAAGTGAGTTTTTTGAGTTGTAGTTCACAAATTGTCATCTTTTGGTGCATTGTGTTGAAGGGTATAAAAATCATTATAATCAAGTAATGACTTTTGAATATAAATTACTTTTGCTTACTATCTTTATTTCCAAATTTTAATTTAAAAAATGTTTAAGATTTACGCCTTTATATTTAACTTTTGTTTTAATCAACATGTGTACCCTTCATATTTAACTTTTGTTTTAATTAACTCGCGTAGTATACTGGTCTCACACCTAGTTATCGAATGAAAAAGAAAAATATTCATTTTATTTAGGTCTTATATGTATTTCGCCATGAATTTTTTCACAAATCAGTAGATACAAAGAGATGATTTTGCTCAAATCATAAGTAAAATACAACTATTGGATAATGAGTAGATGTTCGTAGTAGGATTATTGTCTTTGTTACCTTGTTACAAAAACTGTGATTGTAGATGTGCACAGATGAATCGGGCCTTCCAATCCATTCGGCTTACTAATTCAATTTTTTAGACGAAGGCATGCTTATATCTAGCTTTTTTTGGACATGAACGGGCTTTTTAGGACCGTTTGGGGGGGGGGGGGGGGGGGGGAGTTTATTTCTATCTTTTTATTTTATTTTTCTATTACTTGAATTGAATATTAAAAATGTTGAATAATTTTTTATTTTTAATTTCAAATTAGATATTAATAAGCTTTGGACTACATTAAAAAACTTGAACAATTTACAAAAGATTATGGAAACCTTTCAACTAGGTGATCTGTATCTTCATTATCATTAATCATTGGTATCTTACACAACTAGGTGTGAGACCCGTGTAGTACACGGGTTTATTAAAAATAAAAATTTAATATCATTATTTAAACGTTAAATATTTTATAAAATAGCACTTTTACATAACATAATGTAATCTTTTGAAATATTTATAAAAAAAATTAAATATTATTTATAACATTTATGAGACTTTATTATCAAATTAATATAACGATTCTCTTTCCTTATAAAATTCGTTAGAATTTTATGGAATTTTATTTTAAAAAATGGAAATTCCCAAAAAATGACAAGTGGAAAACAATAATTCTAAAACCCCCATAAAATTACATGTGGCAAAACTCTTGAGAATTTGACAAGTGACAAAAAAAACTTTCATTTATTAGAGAGGATGTAGGCATCTTTTTCATTGTTTTTTTTTTCATATTTGTTTGCATAATGAACATGTTATGACTTGTAAGAACATTTGACATTTTTTTTTGTCATATGTATCTCACATTGCTTTGAGTATGACTTTCCAGCAGTGTCATATTTGTCGGTTGCACATTGAGAATTTTTGAACCCATCATAAGTGGGTTTAAGCTGTTTACAGCTATGATACCATTGATGAAAACTGAAAAACTACACATATAAAGATTTTGTGAAGAAATTGGCCACAAGAGATAATCAACTTTACTGATAATCTGTGAGCCTACCCCTAACTATTTTCACAAAGAAAAAAGGAAACGGACCAATAATATAGCAACCGACTTTTTCAAATAAATAATAAAAATAACAACTACCAGAGAATCTGCATTAAACCCAAAATTAACAAGACGCTAGGAAGAGCAAAACAAATAAAGAGTAGTAGCAGTCGAATGAATAAATAGAGAAAAGACAAATGCCAGATATAGTTGTAGTTGTTATTTGTATTATCTTCTTAATTTCAACCACCAGTTTTAGGGCTGAGAATCCTCATGATGAATGCAAGCTTTCCTCGGAAGAGCATTGTGTATGTGAAATACAGTTTGTCGTGAATAAAATAGAGCAAGAATAGGAAAAGGGCCAGAGTCATTGAAACCCCAGTTATAAGAAAAAGACCACGACACTCTTTTAGGCCTAGGATCTTCAATACAGGCTCAGAATCCTTTGACTGTGAATCTGATTTAAACCACTTATTCTCCAACATGTTTAAAGTCCCATCTTCTCGTAGTCTGGATATCTCTCTTGATAACTCAGGGACCAAGGGCGAACCTTGCCTGCGAATGATCAATTACAGCTTGCATTAAACTAGGAACAACAACAACAACAGGTAGAGTTACAAATTATAAATTGAAATGACAGATTAAATAAATGGTAAGACACTCACAAAACCAAAACCATTAGTGATCATTTCATACATGACCATGGAGTAGCCAGATGGATACTGCACAAGGAATTCCTTTAGGTATGGAATTTCATCAATAATTGCATCAGCACCACCACCATTCTTGCTCCCACGTGACAAAGTGTGGAAAAGTTGCCTCCAAAATTAACAAGTGGCAAATAGTTCAGGGGTTATTTCAGTAACTTATCATTTACTATTCATAGTTTGACTATGAATAGTAATATATATGTTAATTGAAATGAAATTGGACGTCTATCTTTCACTATTCATAGCTTGACTATGAATAGTAGTATATATATGTGAATTTGATTTGGACGGTGAATTTTTGGTAGGCGCCTACAATTGGAATTCGGACGGCACATTTTTTCTACAATTCATATTATATTGCTTTTGGCTATAAATAGCCTAAGCCATGAACCAGAGAATAGAACACAACCAAAAAATCATCCAAGTATATATAAAAAAGCATTACATATATATACTGATACACCACCGTGTATTTTAGCTCTCCCACTCTATTTTGTAATCTCTTTCATAATCCCTGTAAACACTGCAAATTATAGTGAATTGTTTCTCGGCTCCTCCGCCCGTGGTTTTTTCCCGATTTGGGTTCCACGTAATTTTTGTGTCTCTATTCTATTTATTTTATTCGTATTATGTTGTGATTATTACGCTTTGATAATTTTTGATCCCATTCTGCATTGAGCTAATATTATTTAAGTCAATTTGGATCCGTCGTATTTTACAACAATTGGTATCAGAGCATCCGGGTTGTGATATTAGCTCGTTGGGATCATTTTATCAAGTAATTAATCATGTCTTCGGTAAAATACGATATTCCACTACTGGATCGTAACACCCGATTTCCGTTGTGGCAAGTAAAGATGAGAGACATTCTCATTCAGATGGATTTACACAAGGCGCTCTTGGGTTTTCAATAAGATGCCCGATACATGGACCGAAGAAGAAAAGGAGATGAAAGATCTGAAGGCTTTATCCCAAATTCGTTTGCACTTGTCAAACGATGTCTTGCAAGATGTTCTAAAAGAAACGTCAGCGGCTTCTTTATGGCTAAAGTTGGAACAACTGTTGATGACCAAGAGCTTACCAAACAAGTTGCATTTGAAGCAACGGTTGTTCAATCTCAAGATGATTGAAGGAGGCTCTTTAACTGAACATATATCCACATTTAAAGAGTTAGTAAATAACTTAGAGAATATGGATGTTCAGTATGAAGATGAAGACTTGGCTCTATTCTTACTATCGTCGTTGCCAGAATCCTATAGCCATTTTCGTGATACTATTATCTATAGCCGTGACACTCTAGTTTAGATGAAGTCTATACAGCTTTGGATTCAAAAGAGAAGATGAAGCATATTACTGGTGGTGGTTCAAGTGATGCTAAAGCCGAAGGTTTGAATGCCAGCGGAAGAACAACAGAGAGAAGTAGAACTTCTCAATCTTCCAACAGAACCAGATCCAAGTCAAAAGGCAAACGAAAGTTTTGCAACTATTGTCACAAGAAGGGACATGTGCTTGAAGAATGCTTCAAGTTGAAGAACAAAGAAAAAGAGAAGACGACGACAGCAAATGGTAAACAAGCTAGCACTTCGGGTGAAGCCGATCTAGCTGAGGTCGAAGGTATTGGAGAACTTTTGACAGTTTTATTCAGATAAACTGGATTCCACTGGTGATTGGATACTCGACTCTGGTTGTACTTTTCATATGTGTCACAACAAAAGTTGGTTTTACACATTTGAAAAGGTTAACCAGGGCTATGTGTTGATGGGTAACAATACTACATGTCAGTTCTTGGACATGATTCAGTCAGGATCCGTATGTTTGACGGAGTTATTCGAACCATGGGGGATGTTAGATATGTTCCTGACCTCAGAAGAAACTTGTTATCTCTCAGTTCCTTTGACAAAAAGGGATACGAGTTTGCTGGTAAAGGTGGAGTTCTCAGGGTATTCAAAGACGGTTCCGACAAACTGAGAGCCGAACGAAAAACCTCAGATCTTTACTTTCTTGACGGGCAAACAATTCGAGTGATGCTGCTGTTGTGTCAAAGCTTTTTCTGATCCAGATCAGTCCCGTCTTTGGCACCTTCGACTCGGCCATATGAGTTTTAAGGCATGTCAGAATTGAGTCGAAGAGGTTTACTTGGTCAACAAAAGATTGTTGATTTGGATTTCTGTGAAGACTGTGTATATGGCAAGGCAAAACGAGTGAGGTTTGCAAGTGGTATCCATACAACGAAAGGACCACTTGATTATGTTCACTCGGATTTGTGGGGACCGGCTCGAGTTGCTTCAAAAGGTGGAGCTATTTATATGCTCACTATTATTGATGATTTCTCCAGGAAGGTGTGGTCTTTTCTTAAAAAATAAAGGAGACGTTTTCTCTACCTTCAGAAATTGGAAAGTTCAGGTTGAAAAGCAATCAGGTCTGGTGGTAAAGTATCTTCGTACGGATAATGGACTTGAGTTTTGCTCAGAAGAGTTTAATGTCTATTGTCAAAAGGAAGGCATTACTCGACATCGCACAGTAGTCCATTCACCTCAACAAAATGGTGTAGCTGAAAGAATGAATCGCACCATTATGGAGAAGGTCCGGTGTATGCTTTCTAATTCCAAATTGCCAAAGTCTTTTTGGGCGGAGGCTGCTTCGACTGCTTGCTATGTTATCAACCGATCACCGTCACGAGCAATCGAGAAGAAAACTCCGTTTGAATTATGGTCCGGTAAACCTGCAAATTATTCAGATTTAAAATCATTCGGATGTCCAGCATATGCACGGGTTGACAATGGGAAGCTAGAACCAAGAGCAATCAAATGCGTTTTTCTTGGGTACAATCAAGGTGTAAAGGGTTACAAGTTATGGAGCTGGAGCTTTGATTTGAAGAAAATTATCATCTCAAGAGATGTTACTTTTGATGAGTCTGCTATATTTCAACCAGTTGCTGACTCTTCTAAAAGAACAGATGCATCAGATGTATCATCCGAAGCAAATAAAGAGAATGCTCAAATGGAGGTGGAGCTTCCTACTTCACCCACCACTAATCAGAGTACAAATCAGCATCAAGATTCTTCTTCGTCGGATGAGCATGTTGTTGGTGAAGATTCAACACCTTCACAACCACAAGCTACTACTCCAAGCATTGCAAGAGATAGACCGAGAAGACAGATTATTCCTCCGAAGAGGTATGCTGAATCTGATTTGGTTGCCTATGCTTTATTGTTGCTGATAATATTGAGTCTGCAACGGAGCCTGCAAATTATGACGAGGCTATCAAATCTGAAGACTCAAATGATTGGATGCTCGCTATGTAAAATGAGATGGAATCCTTGCAGCGAAACAGTACTTGGAATTTAGTTCCTATTCCGAAAGGGAAGAGACCAGTTAAATGCAAGTGGGTCTACAAGCTCAAGGAACCTGTCAACCCAAATGATAAACCAAGATACAAAGCTCGGTTAGTAGCTAAAGGCTACAGTCAGATTCCTGGTATTGATTACACTGACATTTATCCCCAGTTGTCAAACATACTTCCATTCGTGTGTTGTTGGGGTTGGTTGCTTCTAACGATTTTGAGTTAGAACAACTTGATGTCACTACAGCTTTCCTAAATGGTGAGCTTGAGGAAGAGATTTTTATGCAACAACCTGAAGGTTTTGTAGTTCCTGGAAAGGAGAAACTACGTATGCAAGTTGAACAAATCTCTTTATGGCCTCAAGCAGTCTCCTAGACAATGGTACAAGAGGTTCGATTCTTTCATGACCAGTCACAAATTCAGCAGGTGCACCTATGATAGCTGCGTTTATTTAAGAAAGGTGACAATGGTTCAAAGATCTACTTACTCTTGTACGTGGATGACATGTTGATTGCAGCGAAAGATATGAAGGAGATTCAGAAGTTAAAAGACCAGTTGGAAGCTGAATTTGAAATGAAGGACTTAGGAGCTGCCAAAAAGATTTTAGGTATGGAAATTATTCGTGACAGGAAGTCTAGGATCTTGCATCTTTCTCGGAAAAATTATATTGAGAAAGTCCTAAGACGCTTCAGTATGCACGAAGCAAAGTCTGTCAACACACTTTTTGCAGCTCATTTCAAGCTATCATCCGCTTTAAGTCCTACTAATGAGACTGATATGGCTTACATGGCACGTGTTCCATACTCTAGTGCTGTTGGATCTTTGATGTATGCTATGATCTGCACGCGCCCTGATTTGGCTTATGCTGTTGCTTTAGCTGATAGCATGGTTAGTAGATACATGGCGAACCGGGGAAAGAACCTGGAAAGCAGTAGTACAGTGGATTTTTCGTTATTTACGCGGTACGTCTTCTATGTGTTTAAATTTTGGTAAATCTAACACTGGGGTGTTCGGATATGTTGATTCAGATTATGGCAAAGATTTGGATAAACAAAGATCAATTACAGGGTATGTGTTTACTCTAAATGGTTGTGCTGTTAGTTGGAAAGCCCAGTTACAGTCTACAGTTGCCCTGTCTTCTACCGAGGCAGAGTACATGGCGATTACAGAAGCAGTTAAGGAAGATATCTGGTTGAAGGGGTTATTGGAGAACTCGATGATAGAATAAAGGTGACCACAGTTTTCTGTGACAACCAGAGTGCTATCTTCTTGAGTAAAGATCAAATGTTTCATGACCGAACAAAGCATATTGATATTCGTTATCATTTTGTGCGGGATATCATTGAAAAAGGTGATTGTGTTGTGGACAAGATTCATACTGATTATAATCCCGCTGATATGTTCACTAAAAGTCTTCCTATAGCCAAGTTCAAATTATGTTTGGACATGGTGGGTGTTTCTGATCGCAGTTGAGCCTGAAGGCTCGTAGGTGGAGGAAGTATTATTTATTTTCGGAAAAACATTTTTCTCTATATAAAATTTGCAGGTTCTTATGGAAGTTTTAGAGTTTGGTGAGCTATAGGTTTTGACTAATCGTAAAGCATGACTTGCTTAATTTTGATGTCAAGGTGGAGATTGTGGAAAAGTTGCCTCCAAAATTAGCAAGTGGCAAATAGTTCAGGGGTTATTTCAGTAACTTATCATTTACTATTCATAGTTTGACTATGAATAGTAATATATATGTTAATTGAAATGAAATTGGACGTCTATCTTTCACTATTCATAGCTTGACTATGAATCTAGTAGTATATATATGTGATTTGATTTGGACGGTGAATTTTTGGTAGGCGCCTACAATTGGAATTCGGACGGTACATTTTTTCTACAATTCATATTATATTGCTTTTGGCTATAAATAGCCTAAGCCATGAACCAGAGAATAGAACACAACCAAAAAATCATCCAAGTATATATAAAAAAGCATTACATATATATACTGATACACCACCGTGTATTTTAGCTCTCCCACTCTATTTTGTAATCTCTTTCATAATCCCTGTAAACACTGCAAATTATAGTGAATTGTTTCTCGGCTTCCTCCGCCCGTGGTTTTTTCCCGATTTGGGTTTCCACGTAAATTCCTGTGTCTCTATTCTATTTATTTTATTCGTATTACGTTGTGATTATTACGCTTTGATAATTTTTGATCCCATTCCGCATTGAGCTAATATTATTTAAGTCAATTTGGATCCGTCGTATTTTACAACACAAAGCATTAGCAAAATCCTCTGAAGTAGAATATGGCAGAAAGGAACCATTTCTGTTTCCAATTAAGTTGTTTCCTATTAAGTCGCTCTTTGATGCTAACCGAATTTGTTCAATGGTTAACAGTGAACTCAAAGTTGCAGTGTAGCTTGAAGCAAGTAGCAGCACTACAAACAACCACACCGTCACTACAAATCTTGACAGATTACTCTTCAGCTTCTGCCCTGCAATTTTCAAATTTCAACCACCAACTCAAATATAGTTTCATAAGATTGTGGAAAAATAAACATCCAATACCGAGTAATACACCAGATTGGCATATTCACCAACCAAATAATAATAATAATAGGATTATATTAGAAAGTGGAACTTGGTTGTGTAAAAATTAAACTAAAATGAGATGTGGGAGCTTACTATGAGCATAAACAAGGGTTGAAAACGCAAACCATAAGGTTGTTCCAATCTGTTCTGATAGTGAACCTTGAAACTCTTCATTCGCCCGATGTTCAAGAATCCAAACGACAAAACCGAGTAACATAAAGAAACAAGCAGATACAAGCCACAGATCTAAACTCAGTGGTTCCATAAAGATCCACATGCTTACATCATCATTTTGAGACAGCAGTCCAATGCCAAGATCCGTGAATGGTAATGTAAAGTCAACGTATCGAGTTCTGTTAGCTGTGATTGTTATATCTCCAACTGCAGCATCAAATTCCTGATGCAAACAAACATAATGCAATAAAACAGATTAATTATCATGCTTTTCCTGAGCATCAAACAAAAAGATGCATACCCCAGTATAGACTCGATGTATAAGATTGTTGTAGTTTCGATATGCATCCATGAATGGAATAAATTGAAGGGATACGTTGAGATCTAATGCAGCGAAGGCAGTTTGGAACACAAAACCCTGAAACGACTGTTGAATTAGTTTCAGGATCATGCTTCACTTGAAAAACTCCATTTGGTGGAACGCCGATTCTCAGGATTTCCTTATTTACTTGTAGTAGCAGTAGCATCCTCCTCCTATTATGCATTGAATTAGTTGTCACACTGACTCCTCTTGAAAAAATCTTTAATCTTCAGTTGATCAGCTTGTATCCTCTCAACAGCCATTGCTAGAGCTGAAACTGCATCATACGCCCAAATATCATAAGTACTAATCTCCTTGAGCTTCACCATCACATGGTTCTTAGCATGATATTCTTTTCTCCATCTAGAAGTGAATTTGTGGATATCCCTTGATTGTGGAATGTATGATTTAAAACCCACTGCCCCTTGCATAGACTCAATGCCCCTTGTATGATATCCCTTCAGCTGTCGACTCTGAACCTATGATTGCTTCCACTTTTGGCTTCTCCAAAAGATCAAGAGCTGATGGGCAAAAAAGACAATCATAAACAAATGAATTAAAACAATGAAATAATATCCAAAGGAAACATCTAATGTGCATGTTGTGAAAGCCGTGAATTGACAAATTTGTATGACAACTACAGGCCTTTCATATGTTACATGATGTGTTCCAAATGAAGTCTGAAATAGTTATCTACCAGCAGAGAGAGCATGCAGTGGGTATCCCTGTGGTGAAGAACTATCCTTGTTTGGAAGTGAGGGTTGACCATGTAAAACTCAGACACTGCCATGGTGATGCAGCTATGAACAGCCTTTCCAACCCCAGAATATGAATATGGATATGATGATCCCATATCTAGAATCACTCCCACTGGGATCTCCTTGTAGGCTAAATCTTCTTGAGCTTTTGTATATATCTGCAAGCAGAGCAACATCAACATTAAAGATGAAAGGTGTGTTCTCTCCCTGCTACTTATCTTCATTATTGAATGGTAAAAAATGCTCATGTTGCTGCTGCAAATATGAAAAATAAGCTTTGCTCTTTTCTCCTTTTATTGATTAAACTCATAAAAAGAGATTCAGCCAATCAGTTGACCAATACACACTGGCTTACATCATTCAAGTGTTTAAACAAAAGATTTGCTGTTTAAATATTATATCTCCTAAATTTAAATAATTACAACAGGGAAAGGTGTGCAATATTCTAGTGGATGAAGAAGAAGGTCTTCAAATGTCACAAATACCTGGAAATTTCTTTGGTGAATTTAAGTATAAGCAGTCAACGTGATCATATATGATAAAAACGGAAAGATCATTAAGAATGTAATCAAATATATAAATACATCAAAATGTCAACCAGGCATGCATCCTTCAATATATGCATCTACATATTAGCTAACATCAGCTTAAGGTTCGCTTGTTCAACAAGATTTTGTAGTAGTTTCTTTCTGAAATCTGAGAAGCAATCTTTCGACTGAACCGAATAAGAACCCACTCGACTTCTCTGGAACTATAGTATACTTTACATGTTCAGTTCAGCAACTTCATTGAAGACCATATTTTATGAATTATGGGAGACATAAAATTGATAAGGGTGAAAAGTAGTAGGAGATCAAATTAAGATGAGTCAGTCATAAGCTGACCCAAGAAAGAAGAAACATAATCTCCTTCAGGCAATTCATTGAACACTTGATTTGCATCTCTGAGTTTTGACATTTCCCATGTAAAATCACAACTTATAGAACCCATATTTGACCTTAACGCTGAAGACCTACAAAATGAATTTGCCTTCATCTAGTATTCGATGTGGGGCAAGACCTTTTGAAGACTTTGTCAGGAACAAAAGGACCAGAAAGGGGGTCACAAGGTAAAAGCCAGTACAGATTAGATCTTCTTAATAGATATACATGGAGATTGTTGAATGAAACAAGAAAATAAACTTGAGGTTTTAATTTTAGAGCAACTAATTAAAGAAAGATTTAGTTGCGCCTTTCAGACATTTCATCAAACGGTTGCTTTGCATCTCAAAAATGGTATCAAAAAAAGGTTAAATTGTCTGTCAGACAACCATGTAGCCATGCCAAGACCATCAAGATGGACTGGCAACGATCATCTACTGAGCCATGGCCGGAACCATGAGAAACTCTGTTAATCACGCTCTGGTTACATGGTCGTGGTTCATCAACCAGACATGGGTTTCTGTCTTCTTAGGAATCAAGAATACAGAGGTACGAGCCTATAGAACAGATCCTGTTCAAGTAAGGTCGTGCTTCATCTTCTCTCCGCTTCTCTTATATATGCTATTTCGTTTGCAGTAGCAGCCGATGTGGGATGCGTCTTTTCGATTCCGAGGGATTGATGGGAAATAAGTCAAGAACATTGAGGGGACCTTTCTTCATCGTAACTAAAATTATTATTATTATTATTACTACTAGCATTAACAATAATTTTCATTTACTCTAATTTCGATATTTTTTTGTTTTCTTAAAACGGTTTGATTTTTAGTTACATTGTTTTGTTTTTTTAAACAACTTGGTCTTTTGTTTTCATTCCTTTGTAGAATTTTCTGAATTTTATTTAAGTGATTGGTTAATTTCAATTTTCTTGGGTTTTCGATTCTAGTTGTTTTGAATTATCATCAGGTTTAGTTATATATTAAACTGTCATTTTATATCTCCTTTAACTTGATAAGAATTTTTATCAAACATTATTATTTTATTTAGCTATCTCAATAATGCAAAAACTAAGTCTGTCAAACACATGCTTAAATAAAACTTATCAAATTATAAACTTTTATTAAAAGTATGTCAAACACATGCTTAAACTTATCAAATTATAAACTTTTATTAAAAGTATAAACGTTTTCAAACATGTGATAAAAAAAATATGAAAAGTAAAAAATTAATTATATTAATTTATTGTTTATGAAGTTTTTTCATAGTTGAAGACTGAAATAGTTGTAATTGTTTGCTATTGGCATTGGTTCATTTAAACTATTTGCTATTGGTATTGGTTCATTTAAATTACGTGAACAATTGAACAAATTTTCTTATTTATATTTATTCGTTTAACAATTTATCTTGCTCTTGACAATCATACCTTTTACAAACTTTTGCTTACGTGGAAATTTTTCTATGATTTGTTCCACAATCTTCACTAACATGACACCACTTTCCGTTTTGCTCTTTTTTCAGCATATCTATTTGGCGTTTTAAATCTTCAAACTCTATGCTGTTTCACAATTTGGATAATTAAGATTCATAGTAAAAAAAAATACTTTATGATGTTTCATAGGAAAAAAAAATTCTAAATTTAAGAAGGTTAAGATAAAAAGAATTCAAAATATACACGAAACATGTGATTTAAACAATAAATAGGAATATCACAGGTGAAAGATAGCAATCTCAGCAAACCAATAATCTTGTGCAATAAGGAAGATGGTCGTATACTCCGATTTTATTTTAGGTTTTGCATCCAAATTTGTGGTCCATTTTCTTGGAGTTTTTATGTTTTCTACATTCAAATAAAGAGAGCAAGGTGAAGGAAAGAGGTTTTTTTTTGCTTTTCATATGTTCTTCGTCCAGAGTATACAATGCATTCTTTTTTGTTTCTCACAATAGTTTCTTATTTTCTCTGTCATTTTAACTTGACTGTAAAAAGAACATATGCTTTTGTTTTATAACACTTAGAGAGAGAAAACCAAAAACAAAGTTAAAAGTTTTAATAGATTATGTTATGCCAATACAGTTTGTCTACATCTTCACTTCTAAATGTGAAGATAAAAAGAAAGTAAATAAAACTCGACTGTCGTCACACTAACTTTTACCTTTTTTTTTTCAGACAAACACACACACACACTATCTGAAGAATTAAAACCAAATAAGATCACTAGACCATGAAAAAAAAAAATACCAGAAAACCCCTATTATGGCACAGCATTACATTAAACACATCTTTTATCTTTTATCTTTTTATTGATTAAGCCTTGCTGTCTATGCTCATTGGTTCTTCTGCCTCCTTTGTCCCTGCTGCCTTCTGCACACAATCATAATCAAATCACCATTCATTACACCCCTTTTTTTATGATTTTTATTTTATAAACAGATACACATATTTTCAAAAAGCTCTCACATTGGAAGAGGGTTTTGTCATCTTGGCAAACATATTTCCATAAAATTTAGCATCCTTCTTATTGTATTCCTTTATCTTCTCCTTGAGCAATTTATATTCATGTTTCACATCCCTAATCATATCATCATTAAAACCATATTCATCACTTGCTATAAGCTTCAAAAGTGTCAAAAAAAAAAAAAGGATTCCTACTTGTTATTAGGGTCGATTTCAAGGGCTTTTTTTACATCAATCTCTGCAAGATCCAGATCAGCTACATTGATGTAAGCTTGAGCCCTTCTGTACAAAGCCTTTACATTTGTACTTTCAAGTTCCAAAACCTGTACAGATCATGTTTCCAGACCCTTGTTAAAACCTTTTAAAACATCATATATTTATTAAAAAAGAAAAAGAAAAACCAAACTGTGAGTAGGATTATCTATTTGTATCTATAACCTTAGTGCAAAGCTTTTCAGCCTGTTTGTAATCCTTGAGTTTCAACTGGCATGCTGCATTATTAAGATTGCAAGTAATCTTCAATGCTTTTGCTTGTTTCTTCTCATCTTCTTCAAAATTAGTATCATACTCGATAAACTTAGCAGCCTGGAAATGTTAAAAACAAAAAAAACAGATTTAGTCATAAACAATTACACAAACCACTGCTTTATTTAAACTGAATCTTTACCTTTTCATATCGTTTTACTGCTTTCAAATATTTACCAGCTTTAAAGAACGCATTTCCTTCTTCCTTCTTTTTCCCAGCAGCCTCAATCTTCTCTTGAGTCGTGGTCATGTCCCATGATTCTTTGTCCTGAAAATGAAAATAAATAAACGTTGACATTAAATAAACAATATGATCATAAAAAACTAAACTTTTTATGCACAACTTACCTTAACAAAAGAAACAAGCTCAATTTCATATGTGACAGTGGAATTAGGGGGAACCACTGCTAATTCTTGCTTTGAATCAGTAGACCCAAAAGCATATTCTGGAGCAATTGTCAGAAGAGCTACTTCTCCTTTCTTCATTGTCATCACAGCTTTATCAAGTCCATCGATCACTTGCTCTGTTTATGCAAATACCAAAGTGAGGATTAATGAAAATAAGATTACATAACATAAAGTCATAAACAATAAAAGATATAAAGAATTTCCAATGGTTTATATACCTTCATCTGCCTTGAACTCAAAAGGCTCAGAATCATCATGACCTTTCTTGATGAACACTGTACCATCTTGTAGCTTACCAATCAACTTCACTGTTCATTATCACAACAAGAAGCAACTTCAGACATAACGTTATAAAAAATTTAAAGAATCAAATAGAATAAGCCAACTGACCCTGAACAACAGCTCCTTCATTCGGGCGTTCATACCCCTCCCCTTCTTTCAAGATTTTCTTGATAACTTTCTTGTCATCTGTAACATTTGTGACCACCTTCCATGACAGAAGTTCTAGTGTGATTTGTAGTGTAGCATTTGCAGGAATGGAGCCTTCGGGTTTCCCTTTTTCTCCAAATCCATCTGCAACAAAAAATTTTATAAGTGAATCGACCTTTGTAGCTGTTGAGGCCAAGAGTTTTTACAAAGATGACAGTAAACTTACATTCTGGTTTGACTGTAAGTATGACTTTTTCCCCTTTCTTCATTGTTTTTACAGCCTTAGCCAGAGCAGGGCAGAAATGGCCTGATCAAAACCAAATATGTAAGCAACAATCAAAAAATATTGTAAAGCTAAACGAGAAAACAGCTATGTGCTAAAGTTACCATCTTCTACTTTGAACTCCACTCCATCTGATTTTGCAACTACAGTCCCATCCTCGAGTTGAACTTCGTAATTGACTGCATTTACACACAAAAAAAAAAAGGACGTGTTTAGAAGTGAACAAAGAGTTGCAGAAATTGAATCTTAAACATGAAAAGTGGATATAAAGAAAGTACCTAAAACTTCATCGAGGTCCTTGGGGTTCTCCCACTTCTCTCCTTCCTTTACAATCTTTTTGAAAATCCCACCATCCTTGCAAATATCCTTTACACTAACCCATGAGAGCAGTTGTACATCAAACTGTAGAGTAGCACTGGGAGGGATTGTTGGAGGAGAACCAGCTTCACCATAAGCCAGATCAGCAGGTATGGTAAAAAGTGCATTTTCACCCTTCTTCATGGTCTTGATACCCAGATCCCATCCCTTGATCACTTGCCCTGTTGTCACATAATACAAGAAAATAATGTTAATTATGCGATCCATAACCTAATGTAACGTTATGATACTGTATAATGCGTGTTAATACACTCATAGCAAGCAGGAATAGAAGCACCAATGAACAAATCACTACATGCTATTTTGGATGCAGAAAGAACGTTGTAAATACACACTATGCATGTTTGACATCAACAAATTAATGATCAGTATTAACAAAAACGAGGAAATCCAAACAGTAGAATGACCAATATGAATGCACGAATGTAAAGAATGAATGTAATCAGTTTCATCATTGAGAAAAAACCTCACCTTGACCAAGAGTGAACTTGAATGGCGTTCCCCTATCACGACTTGAATCAAACTGAGTCCCGTCGAGCAACGTTCCAG